CTTTGCTTTGGTGCTGTGATTGCAATTCTCTGGAGATATTCTTACTTTTGGGTATAAAAAAGCACCATCATAAGATTTTTATTTGTACTAATTAGAGCTGTCTGTATATATGGCTGGATTCTTTGAGATAACTTTTATTATGTTCACAACTTATCCCATAGCTTTTTGGTTAATATACGAAACTAAATATTAACTGTGATCTTCTTACACAATTTTATTAATGTAATATATATATATATATATGAATTGAAAGAGAGAGAGGGAAAGAGAGAGAGTTTACCCATCTTTAATGGTCAAACGAAGTATTTAATTGTCAATGCTGTGAAAATTATTCAAAAAAACTAGTTACCAATTTGACACTCTAAAATCTGATGAAACTTTATATATTTGTCTATTATTAATTTATTTAGAAGTAATACATATGAAAATAATTTCATGATGAATTTTATCCATTATCCATAACTTTTTCTCTTTTATCAATAATTTAATAAAAAAGTAAAAAAATTCACAATATTCCAAAATGGCTAAATCAAAGTTACTCATCAAAATGTTTCATCAAATTTTAATACATTAATTAAAACCTCATGTAATTTTCAAATTGAGAGAACACAGAAACAAAGGAGCTTCTGACACAGACAACCACACACAACCTTACTTAGCACTCCCATAAAGAAAAGTAAATAATGCTGTAACCCTAAATGCATATCAAATGTTAATTTATTTGCAAGTATGTATGTATGTCTGTATATGTACATGTACCCACTAAAGAACAAAACCAAAAACAAAAACTTGACACTTCATAAGTTCTTAAAACTGTTTTGCAATACTGTCCAAACTTTACTCACAACATTTGATAATCACAGCATTCAAAATTGAAGCTGTAATGTTTGGTTTTTTAAGAAGAATAAGAAATAAAGTAACTCAATTAATGAAACTCCAAGTATCCCCAATGGCCTTGAAGGATGTGGATGTGGATGTGGAACGTCCAAACAACCCACACAAATATTCATCCATCCAACTCTTTCTGCCACCATAAGGTACCCCCCTTGCACAGTTCCTGGAGTGGCAAAGGGGTGAAGGACAAAGGGGATTGCGAATTTACAGGCCAGGGGGGGGGGAGGTCACAAGCTAGTATCTCCAGGGAAGGCACTGTATATTCCCCTGTAACTGTATGAAGGGCAAGGTCTAAGGTTGTTCGTAGGGTAGGGTTGGGCTAAGCAAGCATGTGACAGGGAAGGGTAGGACCACTTGGTATCACATGTTAGGGTTGACTACTTGGAGCAAAGGCATCCTTCTTCTACATGCCTCAAATCCTTCACAAAAGTCCCCATATCTTTCCTGTGCATGCTGTACTCTCCCATTGACCTTGCGTGTTTATCTGCCCCACAACTCATTCCACTTGTGTCACTTTATTAACCTCTTTTTTCTAATTCATTGTGTGTTTATGTACGCACACAAGGGATATGGTTTTGAGGTTTAGATAGTTACACATCAGCTTCACAACACTTTAAACTGATTTTTTGCATGTATGTATGTATGTATGTATGTATATATACATAATCTTTGCATTTTCTGAGTATGGATTATGAATTTGGGGTGGTGGAATGATTGGAGAGGGACCCAGTTTTAGATAAAGAGTACATTCTATACTGAAGTAAATATTTGACCAAATGAACTCACATGATATGAAAATCTATCACTCTTCAACACTTCAGAATCTCATTTCGTTGTAAGGTTATAATTATACTATCCCTTGATTCCACAGAGTTGTTCATCTCTTTCTCCTTATTTGCATTTTATGAGTTTAATTTGAAAACATTTATGTTCATTGATGAATTAAATTTCTGTGATTTAGCTACCTTGGAAGAAGGTTACTAAAAACAAAGAGGGCAAATTAGATTTTACTGCCTTCAACAAATGTCTTGCTTGTTTGACTTTAAAGTGAAGAATTGCACCCATGAAAACTATGTGTTTAAAGGACATGGGTGTAAAGAAGGGAGAAAACCAAACATTGTGCTCTTGTTGGGCCAACCAAAGGACACAGTATTCAATTGTTGTAGGTGACAACATGGATCAGAAATTGCATAAGATAGTGAATTAGAGTATTCTCTACATGATTGGCAAGCCTTTAGTAAGTAAAAGTATGAATAGCTGTATGGGATATAAATGCAAAATAAATACACAGACACACACACATATACACATTACCCTTTTTACTTTTTGACTTCTTCCCATAATGAAACCTTTTCAGGAATGCCTTGCAACTTCAGTGCACAATTCAAACATTCAATTTAAAGATAAATAAATAAATAAATAAATAATCAATATATGCTACAGGAAAGAATGAAAGAAAAAAATGTGTCTAATAGAGCTAAGCTGCATAACTGGTGGGCAAATTTGAAGTTCCCCATTTTCAGGAGGACTTCTCACCAAACCCTTTTTTATATATATTTTATTTTCTGAGAAGGGGAGGAAGAGATTAAAGAAGAAGTCCCCATGACCGTGCTAAAATTGCACCCCATGACCATGCCTGTAATATGAGAATAAGTCCAAGGGCATGGAGACAGAGTGACACAAATGGTATTGAATGAGGTGGGCACACACGCATTCATCCTCCCTATCTATTCACCACCACCATCATCTATCTATCTATCATCATCAACATTCTTCTTTCTCAGCATGCAGAATTCAAATGAGCCTGCTGCAGCCTGTGCACAGGCCCATTGATGGACACTGGCAGAGGATGCATATGCCTCCTATTCATCATCCCCTCTGGTAGCTTTTGTTTTTTGTTTTGTGTGTGTGTGTGTGTGTTGGATGAATGAATGAATGAAGCCAAGGGGTTGAATTCGTGTAAGAATTTGAGGATGAATGTTGTTGGATTTGGATGGATGAAATGCTAACATGCCAGTCCCTCCCCCCCTTTCATGTACCTCTCTGGTTCACATGCTTCTTAATTTCCCTGTGTACTCACTACACAGCCATTGGAGATGCTGGTTGATACATGCTTCAAAAAACTGCATTTAATTTTGGTTTGATATTTCCCATTTAAAAAAATGAGTTGGTATATAATGCCTCTGGCTCTTGCTCTGTGCCTTTGCTTGTGTGTTCTTGGCATGCTCTAAAGGACCCATTTATACTCTTCTGACATTGGGTTATACTAATCATCTGAAGACATGGGCAATATCTGTGTACAGAAATGATGGGTTGTGAGAGGAAAAGAAAAGAAAAAACATTTTTAATACAAGATCGACTTTAAAACCTTTTTGATCTAGAGAAAAAACCTACCTTTTTAATAATTCCTCAAATCATGTGGCTACGTAAGCATTGTGGCTACACAGTAAACTGGGCTTCAATGATAATAATAGTTGCAATAACTGTTGACTCATCAGCCTCAACATCATTCTTTCATCCTTTTATTTACTTATTCTGTATGCACTTATTGCGAAGTGCATGAAAAACAAATTGCATTTGGATGATTAGAAATTGTGTGTTTATGGTGATTGGTAAAAAGGAAACTTCAGCATTGCAACTTCAAATGATTTATTTGAAGTAATTTTTATGATTGCTGGTATTATTGTTTTCTTTTTATTTAAAATAAATTGCATGGATGCAAAGTGAGTGAATATTTGCTTGTGAATGTACACATACAATACTCCTGAGAGGTATTTAATTGAAAAATAATTGATTGCATCTTTTTGCTTTCATGCAAATAATTTGGCTGTGAAAGAGAAGGAAAAAGAAATAAAACATTTACCTATATCAAAACATTAATATTCATGCCTAAAATAGTAGAGCATATATTCGAATTAGGATGGTGAAAAGCGAATCCCGCTAATCTGGAGGTGAAAGGGGATCTACTCTTCCTGAAGTCGTTGGAGGGTTAATCTAACTATAGCTACAGGTAGATGGGTGCCCATAATCCCCAAGTTTGTGCTGAACACGGTAGAATAGTTAATGCTTGGCCTAATTAAATTATAATCACGTCTTAATTATCGGATGCCTGGGTCAATTACAGAGAGAGATTTCGATCTCTGTTCTACACGAACAGTTGTTTTTGGTGGTGGGCCTTAAAGTGTTCCTTGCATGGAAGTGTTGAATATTCGAATTTGGGATCCCTTAATCCGAGATTAATCAGAGATTTTTACGAAGGACGTGTGATTAACAGCAGAATATAGTTAGAATGATGGATCAAGGATTTAATGAAAGCCGCCATTCCACAAACAAGGGGCCAAAATTAGTTACCAAGTCGATCCGAAGAACATGCACTCAGCACAAGTCTTTCACTGATACTTCCGTAGTTAGGGTTTCACCTCAGCGTTTTGGAGGATTGTGCGCTGATATACAGCTATGAATTTGTGGGTTTTCTTGCTTTCATATTATAGAAACATACTCATTTTTTTTTGTTTGGGAATAGATCCACACTAAATAGATTAAAAGATGTACAAAAGCAAATTACTCACTAAGCGTGGGTTCTGTTAGTCAGCCTCCCCCAAGGCTTCGTGCGCACTTGGGAACGTCGCCCCTCAGTTCATGGGCACTGTTCCTCAAGAGGACCCTGTTTAGTGAGAGCAATACTCGTGCTGGACAGCACCACATCCATGCTCAAGTCACAATCTGCACTTTTGCTTCGGTTATACTTGGGACCCCTATGGACTTCGCGCGGGTCTTCCGGATGAGAAGTGACCCGTCAACTAGACAGATTAACGAACGCCGTTGAAAGGGAGAGATGACGGACGGAATCAATGATGGATGGATGAAATTGAGGTTCGGTGCTTGACTGGTGGATTTCTTTTTGGTTTTTCTGCCTTTTTTTATTTATTTTAATCTTTTACATGAGGTTTCGGTCGCCCCTTCCTTCGGAGTTCATTCGTCTGAGTTGAGGATGGTAATTTATTTCGACAGTGGAGGTAGCGAGAGAGCGAAACGGACAGAGAGATAAGGGCCTCGGTTTATTCAAGTGAGACTTCGGCGAGCTGCAGATACCAACAAGGAAGCAGCACATGATGGTGAAGGCGATGGCAGGGCGCTCCGACGATTCTCATTCATTGAAAGCAGCCGTCGTGTTCGTTGAGTGAAACGAGGATTCTGGAGAAAGGCGCAGGACGCTGATGATGAACAGAGGAGAAAGAAACAAGAAATTATGTTGTTGCTAGATTAGAGAGACTGTGTTTGGCACTGCTGCGGTGACCATGGACCTAATTTTCTGACTGACACTCGATGCGATCGATTTGACGAGCGTGGTTGAGTCGTGAGGCGAGAGGTATTGGTGCATCTGACTGCGAGAGGTATTGGTGCATCTGACTGCGAGAGGTATTGGTGCATCTGACTGCGAGAGGGCGGTAGGGTAGAATTGCGGCAGGGAGGACGAGGAGGAGAGGACGGCGGCGAGCAACGAGGCTGAGTGAGTTTGGAGAGAGCAGGTTGAGGATTGTAAACGTGGTATCGGAGGAGTTGCTTCGGAGGAGTGTGCTATGGTAATTTCTGAGGAACATGTTTGTGAAGGGCATGGTAATTGAATCTAGTTTTGGAGGCGGAGGCAGGTTGGTGCAGCAGGTGGAATTAAGGAAGGGGAGTCGAACATGACTTGGAGAGATTTGTTTCAGAGGGTGGGAAGTAGAATTCTGGAATTTTCAGATCTTAATCACAAAGGTATCTACCGTGGCGAGGGCTTATTCTGAATCTCATCTTCGTATGATACGGAGTGAATCTGGTTTATATAAGTCGGACACTCCTGTCTTGTGACTTTACATCGTAGTGTGTGTCAGTGTGTGATCTGGACGAGAGTTTAGTCGCACCTGTTGTGTAGAAATTTTAACTAGTTTACGAAGCTCGACCACTGAAGATGGCGCTGGAAGTTGGAGTTCCCGGGCTTGATTTGGTTTGGGTTTAATCGAAGAGCAGATGCAGCCACACCATTGGACACATTTTCAGGTGTGGCGTGGTGACGTATTCTGCCTTGATACAAATCCCTCGGACACTGCAGCGTTAATGACCTTACATCCATGTAAGACCTCGTGAAGTATCAGGTCGGATGCTAGCTAGATGGACATAATGAACACATCGGCTTGGCCGGGGTAGGAATGACCAGTAAACTTGAACGTTTTCAATTTCTAACCCGAAATTTAAGCGGATGAGATCTCATATTGCTGGTGTACCTCTTTCACTCAGGATGTTTTCATGCTTAGCTCTTTTACTTGGGAATTGGTTATTTCTAAGATCTATTGAGAGGCTTTTTCCAGAGTAACCAAGTTGAAGCGATTCTACTGGGTTAGGAGACTGGTCGACAAGAGGTAGTCGTATTGTCGCTGCTTCCGCAGCTTATGGAACACTGCTGTCCCAATGTTCCTGTAGGAAGGACAACCATCGGCACATATCTGAAGTTCTTGGCAATCTGATCGGTTCACTTGGGGATTTATGTACCTGGTGCATGTAGGGGGAGCTTTTGATTTAGTAAGGCTCTCTTTATTCGAGTCATGCGCCACTACAACTACAGGGCTGTATCTATCTGTCACGGCAAGCACAGTCCTGATAAAATTTCCCGCTCCCCCATGCCGAAAGACTTAAATCTATGTTAGTGAAAACCTTGTTGGGTAGCTAGGTGAGAAGTTTTGGGAAGAAGCGTATTGTGAAAGAAAACATGAAATTAGAATGAAGCTGGCTGCCAAGCGTCGGATAGGCCAGCTGCTGGATTTGATGACATAGAGGTAGAAGGCGAGCGAGGAAGGTGAAAGTATGGATACGATGGAGCCAATTGAGTGCGGGGTGACACAGAGGAAAAGCCGCTGCCACAGCAGTGAGACAGAACGATCTTCACCGGTTTCTACCTCGTACGGAGGGTCTTCTCAATCGCCAAGGGATAATGGTGGCACTTCCTCCTGTTCTGACGCTCGAGATGAGCGAGAGGTAACGACAATATTTTCCTGCCTTTTCCTCTTGTTAATCACACCACACTTATTTCTGGTCAGTCGAGAAAACAGACTCTTAGCCTGCTCACATTTTCTCTCGCTCTCTCTCCTATCTTTGAAACGGTTTCCGCATTTAAAAGTAGTTCGTTACCGCCGGTGCAACCTCGTGAATACATTTTTTGCGTTTTTTGTTCTTTTTGTTTTTTTCTGCATTTTTGGTAGATGTGGAGCGAGGCTTTTAGTTTGAAATTCACTTCTCATAGACACTAAACAAAGTTCATTAGAGCTCGAGTTACACACTAGTCTCAAATTTGAGAAGTTTGCAGTTCATGGAAACTATAGGAAGGTTTCATTATTGCTCATGTTAATAGTGAAATTGAAACTTGTGACAAATCGAACGGAGAATTAGATGGTGCAGCTGGAATATCGTAAGTTCCGTATCTTGGTGTCGTAGTCTAAGTGCCGTGTTATAGACGTAGTCCAGAGCATAATTTCTGATGGATAGTGATCTCATTGCGAATGCGAGATTATTCCTGTCCCGACCGTAGTTACAGTTCAACTTCTCTGTTGAGAAACACTTTTGCCTCATTCAATTTTAAGCAAGCGGTTTTCCCTCCAAGATACATCCAATTTGTGCTCCAGCTTATTTCATGAAAATTGAAAGGTCTGAAGATGTGTTTGTAAGCTGGATAAGGTGATACGTCTGTTTTCTTCCTGGTGTTGTATGTACTGGTCCCCATCTTGTTGAGGTGAAGGTCGATTTCTGGCTCTCTTGAATAGTTTCGTCAATCGTACTGGAGTCATGGTGCTTCATGTCGAAGAGACAACTATGAGTTTGGTTTATAATTCGATTGTTCGTTGTGTCCACAGAGGAAGTCTAAGGGTGAAAGAAATGGGCAATCGAGACGACTCCTGCAAGCTAGTCCAGGGAGTTGGGTGAGTTTGTTGTGAGTTTGCTTCACATATTGATTAAATGTTTCGTTATCTAGATTAACGCACACTAGCACATGTTCGATGGAAATTTGTGTAATTATAATGCCAGCCAAGTACTGTTTGTCCAGTTAAATTGCTTTCAGAACAAGACATCACATTATGGTTGTGCAGAAGATTCCTGAGAAGACCGAGACACAGGATCGCGAGCTGAATGGGAGCGATAGAGTTGAAATAACGAGGTATATTCTTATTTTATTTTACTTTAATTTACCTCTGAAATTATGTATGACTGCTTTAGTCATGTGGTTGTCATGATCATCTGTATTGCAACCAGATTAGAGGTGCTCTCATTTTGCCGCTCGAGAGGTTAGGACCAGTTCGTCGTAGGATTCACCTTCTCACTTCCATATCTCTGAGGTCGTGGCTGTCTAGAGTTATTTTTCTCTATGTATAGTTCTAAGAGAGTCCAGGACCGTTTATGCGGACACATTAGCAACTCACCTAGTCTTCAGTCGATGAACCCAAAGGTAGACAAATCGTTGGATTCAGGAGTTGACAGACATTTATTTTCTACATGCAGCCCAAGTTTCAAGCAGGATCGCAAACAACAGAAAGCCCGGCATTCGCTTGCTTCGAAAGTATGTTCTAGCCGGAAGCATGCAGAAATCTTACCCGCTGAAAGCGAGGTAGGCATCTGTCCTGTTACTACTTACATGATGCTTTAACCTTATTTGGGAATTTAGCCTATTTCATTTTATATTTGAAAGTTCTTTTAAACAAATAATTTGATTTGTATAACAATTCAGTAATTAACTTCCTTTGAAGGCTTAGTGCTGCACCCCAGGTTAATAGTTTGTATTGTGGTTAATGTATACGAGACTTCATTTTGAAAGACATTGACTAATTTTGATGTAATATGGACTGGACTGTGGTTCAATAGGCAATTGGCGGTGAGGATGAGGATGATTTGTCTAACTACAGGACTTTTGAGCGTCTGGTGCAGCTATCTGAACTCCAAGAGGAAGTAAGTTGTATCATGGCTCCTTCTCTACGAATTTGTAAAAACCACAGTCCTTGAAATGGTCCGTTGTGTATCTTGATTTAAAAATAAAACAAAATAAATGAGTGAGTGCAGGTGTCTTTACTACATAAACGGTTGGCGGAGGAACTTGAGCTACGTGCAGTGTTGGAAAGTGCCTTGGAACATGATTCAGGAGCTTTAACCAAATTTCCACGTCATCTTCCAATATCTGTAAATCTTCAACTTCGGCCTTTCGAATCTGCTTGTGTTAAGTCTTGCTGCTGGTTCGGTCCTTGACTACTTTGTGCTTCGTGTTTCTGGTTTTGTGTTTTATCATAGTATAGGATGAATTGACAACTTTGGAAACTTGTCGTGCAGGCTCGGGAACTCTTGGCAAACATTACATTGTTGGAGGTGGCGGTGTTGAAATTAGAGGAGCAATCCTCGCTTTTGCAGGATGAGGTTGGACAGGCGCGCATAGAGAGGGAGATAGCTGAGCTGAGATATTCTTCAGCGCATGGCGTACGTCTGCGTTCGGAGGGGCTTAGTCTGAATTGCGCTTCATCCGATTCTAATGAAGTTCTTAGGGATGATCATTCTGTTCGATTATCGAGCACAGTACCTTCGTGTGAGGGCCAAAAGTCGAATACAGCTTCATCGTCTACGCCCACAGAAACGACCAGTCTTCAGTCTTGTATGTCTCTTCGACAAGAGCCGCAGTTTAAAGAACAACCTCAAAAAGGCTGGAAGGTGTGTTTGGATGTAACTTCATCTCTCAGCTGTCAGCTGTCATCTGAAGGGGATGCATGTTTTACACGAAAAATTTCGTCTAGCAATCAATTCCACATTTTTAGTCTGACTTCTTTAGTTGTACTTATCCTTCTCGTTTCGTGTGATCTGCTATTTGGTTCGCCTTTGATAGTATTTTTGTGGATATCCGAACTCAAAAGTGGTTTCTAAGTGTTTATTTGTCATCTTAGGTTTTTTCTTTTTTGTCGTGCTATAGGAACAGCGAGCTCTTACACTGCGGCAGGATCTTCGTTTAACCATCCCAGAGTTTTCTGAAGAAGACCATGCAACTGTATCACCCTGGAGCATGCATCATGAGTATGATTCAATTAGTGATCGGCAAAGTCAAATTATAAAGTCATTTTGGAAACGGAATCCTCTAGAGGAGGAAGATCATTGGATACCTCTAATCGAGCACGAGCCACAAGTTTTATTTGCTGAAGCTTATTGCGACTCTCCTCAAGATAGCAACATGGGCCTCTGTCATGTTCCAGTCGCTAGTGTAACACACAATGAGGACTCACCTTGCTTCTCTCCTGCTATTATTGCTGAAACTCTTAGGCCACTGTCTCCAGATCTGGCTGATCTTGCTGAGGAGGATGATAAGTCTTTCATTCCTGTAGCTGAGGTTCTGTGGAAACCTTCCACTGTCAAGCCTTCAACTTTCTCGAATGACTTAGAAACTGAGATTCCAACCATAGCAGTACTGACAACCAAGCCAGAATCGTGGAGCTTTACGTCTGAAGATGATCATCCTCGGCCGGAGAGTGGCTCTGCTCCCCACAGCATGGTCTTCGAGGATCAGCCTTGGGCGCAATTAGCTGAAGCTCCCTCTGTTGACGAGGTTGGAATTTTATTTTCCTTTGGAATTTATTGTTAATGTTTCATTAATAAATTAGTGATTAGTGGAACTTTTCTGCATACGTGGCATAGAATGTGTTGTGGCCATTTCTCGCTGAGCCAGTTTCAGGTTCTCAAATTTCAAGATAATTGTCATGCAGCAAAAGACGAAATACCGGAACGGCGTCATGAATGTTCGTGAGCTTCGACGCCAGGGTACTCTGGACAAAAACTCTGAGAAAACCAAGTCCTTTGACTCTTCTCGGACGTCCAGCATCTCATCGGTATTTGCTTTAAATTCGTGCCATTTTTTTCGAGATATCTAAATGTCAACCTACATTGTGTTTGAGAGTTTTAAGCCAACTTGGGATGGTTTTGAGAAGTAACAAATCTGACTTTAATTCATTTTTTGGCAGGTCAAATCTGGTACCCTTCTATCTCCTATATGGTCACCTGTAGACACGAGAACAGAGAATCGGAATGCTTATGAATCACGGGGTAGTGTTGAAATGGAAAATGGCTGCAATCTTGCTTTATCATTTAATACGCCCAACGAACTTTCAGAACAAATGGTACGTTGCATGATCAGTATATATCGCCATTTGGCCGACTCGAACAACACAAATAAAGAGTCTTCACCATTGGGTAAAACTCAATCTCCCACTTCACCCTTCACAGCGACGACGAATTTGTCTGCCTCGGTCTCTGAATCATCTCTGCTATCAGTTATTCGAAGTCCTTTAGTGGACCTTCGTAGTAAGGAGGTTTTGGGAAATGAGGCATCTCCTGACCCTTTCAAATCAAGGGGTAAGATTCCATGGGCAGACATCGGTCCGTATGCCCATGCAATGGAGGTTGGGTGGCTTTCTGTTGGCAAAGATCAGCTTGAGTTTGCAGCACAAGCTTTACGTAGTTTCAAGTGAGTTGTAATCATTACATCCCTATCTGCTTAGGGTTTTATCCTTTTTCATAGGTATAGAAGTCCTACACTAAAACTTAAGTTGATTTACGTTATGCACTGTTGCTTTTGTGAAACAAGCACTTACGTGGACATGTAAATTTTTGTGAATATAACCCAAGTTAAATCTGCAGGATATTAGTGGAGCAATTATCAAGAGTGGATCCTTCGAATTTGAAGCATGAAGAAAAGCTTGCATTCTGGATCAACCTTTACAATGCTCTTTTGATGCACGTAAGTCTTATTTTGGCATGGTGAGAGGCTTAGCAAACATTGATGGCTAAGACTGATAAGGCTAGCATCATCTTTTACCAGGCTTGTTTGGATGGAGGTAGTAGATGTCTGGATATCTTTTCGTCCAGTCCTTAGATACGCATCATCTTTATTCTGGAGTTCGTCTTTCCTAAACACAATGGGCCAAAATTTTGCAGGCTTATCTGGCGTATGGCATTCCAAAGAGCGATCTCAAATTTTTCGCTTTGCTTCAGAAGGTATGTTCGCGCACCCTCACTTTTATGTAACTCTTGCGATCTTCAATGAAATTGCCTAGGGAACGTCCTTCCTATGTACAGTGCACTGTAATGGTTTGAGTAACATTTGTTTGTATAGCTGAGTTGCATATTGTAATTTGCAGGCAGCTTACACTGTGGGAGGGCACTCGTTCAACGCTGCTACAATGGAGTTCTGTCTTCTTAGGTCGAAGTCGACTGCTCATCGACCTCAACTCGTAAGCACTGCAACACTGATGCATTACTAATCGTGATTTTTCTTTTGGTTTTGTTATTCTCTTGATGAAATATTTGTTGAACATGACGTTTTGGACCTTTTTCATGATTTTTTCATTCGATTTCTGATTCCTACACTACACCAATAGTATACTGATGTTGGAAGAAACGTCCCTAATTCCTTTGTTAATGATCCAGAATCTTTTGATGTCCCTACACAAGAATAAGCTTACGGAGGACCAAAGCAAATTTGGAATAGATCATCTAGAGTCGCTCGTCAGCTTTGGGTTGTGCAGTGGCACGCGATCATCACCTATGGTATGTATTGTTTAAGTCGATTGCAACGTTATAGCTGAGGAGAATCATGTTTAATTTCTTCGTCTTCGTAACTTTTTAACACTTAATCAAATGCTTGTTTTTCGTATAAGCATATCATCTTATCTTCTTTCCTAGATGATGTTTAGTCTTGTGTATCATGTGTATTCTGACTGTATTAAACGGAGAAGTCTTATCTCGATTTGGTTCAATCTCAGAGTATTACTCCTGAGTAGGGTTCTGTTGCAACCTTCTCATTCGGATTCGGTTATAATCATGACACGTCTGTTGCATTCTAATTTCACGCTCTAAAGGTCATTTTAATGTTGACCACTGTCGAACGAGTTCAAATTTCACGCTCTAAAGATCTTTTTAATCTTTGAGCACTGGCAGGTTCGAGTTTACACAGCCAAACATGTAAAATCACAGCTTGAAGATGCACTTCATGACTACACGAGAGCAGCCGTAGGAATCTCAGCGAAGGGCAGGCTGCTAGTTCCCAAGTTGCTGTATACCTATGCTCGTGAACATGTTGAAGATGCTGACCTTTTGGATTGGGTCTGTAACTTCCTTCCAAGCAACCAAGTTGCTGTGGTCTTTGAGGTCATTCAACAACGCAGGCATCGTATCCTTGGATCAAAAAATTTCAACGTTCTCCCAAATGACTTCACCTTCCGCTACCTATTCCCTGCGGAGGTTTGCCCAAAACGGGAATTCTAAGTCTTAATTACTTATTAATAAGTAGTTGTCTTGGAATCAAGTATTTGCGAGTCCACCACATGCAGAAGGGCGATCAACTACGGCATTGGTTGTTTCAAGTGAAGCTCACAATTGCAGCATTTATTCCGGGAGATGGACCATTTCTTTCCGGACCTGATTGTAGAGACTCTCTTCTGCTCCCCAACGGACGTCGAAATTTGGTACATGTCGACCTCAACAAAGCTTTACTGTCATTTTGAATAGATGTTTCCTCAATGTCTCCTGTCTGATTTGTGATTGAGCACATCCAGTGCCTTCATGGACAACACCCCGCATGGCAATGTGTAAAGTAGAGTGCAGATATAAGAATCTGCACGGGAAAAAAAAATGCCTGGGTCTTTTCTCTTGCACCCCTTTTATTTGGGGTGGTTGTAGAGTTGGTGTTTCTCACCTAAGCCACTCATAACTGAAGCAGATACATGATGAGCAATTGTGCTGCATCGCCATACATGGGTACATTTTACTTACTGTTCTAAGAGCTATGCGTCTTTTCATTAGAAATGGGTCCTGGGCTAGTTCTGGCCTGGCCTGGTACGGGTTTGTTGTAAGCTGAATGAGAGATCTGTTTTCATTGTTTTCTCTGTATCACAATTCCCTGTTAAATGCCTGACAGTTTCAGAATGATTGAAAGGTCAAGTTTCATAAGAAAAAGAAAATAAAGTCTCGCTGTAAATATATTTTTGTTGTATGTTCGTTCACATAGTATAAGTATTTCATGCCTAAGTTGTACTTCCAAATGCCTTCAGTTTTGACTGATGACTTCGAACTTTAAATCATGAAATGCCACTGGGCATTGGCATTAAAAATTTTAATTGTAGGAGTTTTAAAAAATTTAACACAACTTTTATGTAGGCAATATAAAGGTCTTAGTATCTATTACAGAAGAGCTTATAATTCTTTTTGAATTCCAGAAAAATTGATGAACTGATAAACTTAAAATAGAAATATCACACAACATTTAATGACTTCTGAAATTGTATAATTAAATGGAAATAGAAATATAAATATGCCTTAGAACGTGAATCCATAATCTGAAAAATTTAATTTAGTTTTAAGAGATCATTTGAATTTAAAATGATATATCTATTTTAAATGCAGTGTATAAAAGAAATCAATTAATAATAGGAAAATATCATATATATCCCTCAAATATGTTAGAACATCAATAATATCCATGTATTCTTGATATTAGCAAATCTACTCCATTTTTGTGACAAATAACAAATCTACTCTTGTTGGTGATAATAACAAATCTACCCTTGTTGGTGATAAGTTATCACTAGACTTTCTTATTTAGTTGGATCTAGGGTCCAAATTGTCTACTGTGTGGATTTTGGCTTGGTTTTTTTCAGCCCTTTTTGGCACATTGCACCTTCTCTTCTTCTTGGCAATGTCCTTGTATTGTATAGGATTTGCCTTCATTGGACTATTGTCAATACATTGATTACATGCTAGTACAATATACAAAGTATTCAATTTGGCTCAAAACCTATGAAATTGTGTCTATTGTTTGTAATCTTGTGGTTTGAAGAATTAGCTTTGTAGTATGTGCTTATGTTGGTGATAACTGGATTGTAGTATCTTGTTCATTGGAAGGTCAAGAATGGTACAAAGAGTTGTTGTTCTATGCAACTCAACATTGAATGCAAGAAATCTCTAAACAACTTTTTGTTAGGTCAAACTCTACTTAAAGGATTAGATAACTTGTGGTTGATTGCAATCAAGTGAAGCATATCAATTAATATTAGAAATGTTGGTAAAGCATATATATATATATATATATATATATATATGTGTATATTTAATTTTTTATTGGATATCATTGGTTTTTCTTAAGCCAAATGTATAAGCTTATCTATTTATGCTAGGTCCAACCATAAGGATGCAACAATGCAAGTGCTTCAATGAAGTCCAAGTTATGGCTAGCAAGTGGCAAAAGTCCTAAGGATTTCATGTAGTATTTGATGCAAAGCAATAAAACAAGATTGTAAGAGTTGTTTTGATAAGTAGTCGTAATCAATAACAATCAAGAAGTAGTTTATAGTTTTTTATAAAAGATAATCTATGTATGGAATTGGATTGGTATTCAAAGAAAGATTTTGCTTTAAATTCAGCTAGAAGAGTTGCAATACTAACTAGCTTCATGAGCCATATAAATCAATCTCCTTAGCTTTCATACCTCACCTCTCTATGTTCAAATTTTCATTTATCCAAAACATCATGTAAAATTGTCTTTGATTATTTTGTAGTGCGTAATATAAGCTCTATTTGTTGGAAGACTATATCAGTATGAGAAGTGAGTATAATAGACTTTTAGTAAAGATATAATTGATCAAGACTATTTCTGTTAAAGTTGTTGCATATAAGATTGTGAGATTCAATATCATGAAAATCTCTACCAATATCTATGACATCTAAAAAATGGGACAACAATGAATACCTCAACTTCCAACCAAAATATTTGCCACTCAAAAGGTCAAGAAAATGGGTATTTTCATCATTCAATGAAAGAATGCAAAAAAAATAATATAATTGCTTTGTAAGTATTTTGCATATATGATAATTGACTATTTATGAATACAATCAAGTATTTCAATTACATTTCTATTCTAAAGTGTAATGGCTCATAGTACTTATTTTTGTACCTCTAATGGCCAACTTTCAAGGATATATCCTTTGTAGGCAAGTAATTTGAAGGATGCAAGCATTGCAACAAAGAAAGCACTGTCACATCCAAATTTGCCCAAAAATAGCTATGCATAATCTACATAATAGAAGGAGATTATTGAGAAAAAAAAGAGGTGTAATGAGCTAAAAAGAGCTAAAAAAAGACCATGCCAAAATTTGCATGGCATATGGCTTGGATCCTAAATCCAACTAAATAAGAAAGATTTATGATAATACATCACCAATGAAGGTAGATTTGCTATTGTCAAGAATACAAGGATATTTTTTATATTTTAACATATTTGAAAAATATATGATATTTTTTAAAAAATATTTTGACAATGATAAAATTTTAAATAAATTAAAAATAATATTTATTTTAAAAAAAGTATTAATAAATTATAAATGGATATAAATAAATAAATAAATAAAATAAATAAATAATATACATGTTTGAATAGTGATTTCTTTTATATTATTAATTTATATATTTTAAAAAATTAATCAAAATAAATATTTAATTAACTTATATTTGCTCTTATTATATTTTATCAAGATATATCTATATCTATCTTTATATATATATATATATATATATATATATATATTCTATATTAATATAAAGGTCGTCCTCCTTCATTATTCTATCAATTTTAAAACTATGGAGTTCTTTTTTTCTTTCACAAATATTCATAAGCAACTAAGAACTTTATAGGTATTTATCAAGGATAAGAACTTGATGAAGAAAAAAAAATAAGTGAGATTTTTTTCAAAGAATGATGACAAAATAGAAATAAAAAATTATGTATATTCAAGAAAAAACTAGAATGATTATTATCAAAAGATAAGAAAATTAAAGACCTTTGAAACTAGATTAGATTAATCTAGATTTGAAGCTATGAGTCATCAAATTGACTCATTAGTTGTTTTAAAATAAAAAGATGCATTTAGAGTCTTTAAATGGTGAATAGTATAGAAATCTTTGAACAAATAGAAAATTAGAATGTTAGTTGTAGAAATGGAATCTTAGTAAGTCTTGGAGGCAATTATCTTAGTTGATTTAATATTTTATACTTATTATTGAATATTAAAGGTTTTTTATTAAGGTCATTATTTATATTGACCTTCTTTCTATACGTATTACTTATAAAAAACTACAAAATTTTAGTTAGTAGCTAAAATAAGCATGAAAAAGAATCTCATGTCTTTTTAATTATTTATATAAAAAGTAGGATTTATAGTAGATTTAAATTGATTTTATTACTATAAAAAATAATAAAAATAGGAAATAATAGCCTTAAACTGATATTAGTATTATAAAACGATTATAGGAATTTTTAAAATTTATTTAGAATCTTTTAGGAATTCATAGAGCAATTTCTAAGACTTTGGTAAAAATAATTTTTATCACTTCGGGAGCCATTATGAAGAAATGGAGTAAGTTTTGAAAGCCACACAAGATTTCTAAGCTAATTATATGTTTTTAAATACCATTGTGAAGTCAAAAATAAAAAATATTGGTTTTACTAATAGAAAATAGATGGATCAGTAGCTAGTATAGTTCTTATAAGAAAAGAGGTGCTCAAGTTCCATATGGATTGTAGCACCTTAAAGATAGTTAGGAGGATAAGACTAAGGCCTTGTGGCCTCTCTTAGACACCCTTATACACTACATGTGAGACTTCGTGAGGTTCGAATCTTTGATCTATGAGCAAGTTACCCTTGAGGATTTTTTTATTTTTTTTATTTAATCTTTTATTTATTTAATTTTTATTTTAAAACTTTCATAAATTATTCATAGTAATTTAGATTCATATGTTTCTTATACCATTGAAAAGATAAAAAATTTTCTTTCAAAAAATATATTTTTTTATTTTGATTTTTTTTATTTTTTAGACTATAAAATATAATGAACAGATTGGATCAAGTTTTAGATTGTATAATTTCTTGATTTTATTTATTCTAATTTTATATTTTTTTTCTTTTATTCTTACTATTTACTTCTCTATTATATACTAACAATTAGAAACAACTCTTAATTGAGGCCATTTTGTAATTTAGATTGAAGAATGAATTTTACACTTATAGAAGCAAGAAATGAATTAATAAGAGTGAAAAAGACTTCTCTCTTATTTCTATATATATATTATCTATCTAAGAGCTACATAGCAATATTCTATAGGATCTCTAATATATGTCTAATTTGTAAGACATATGTCTTAACTTGCAATGCAAGTTTTTTATATGTATGCCATATGGTTAGCTTATATCACAAATTATCAACATATGTGACATGTGGCTGATTTTTTGGTCAATTTTTTAACTTATTAATCACCTATAGATACATATAAAGATGAAATCACATCTATGAAGCTTTTAGAAAGTTTTTTTATAATATATTATCAAATTAATATATTTTTACCTACTTTTACCTATTTATATTATCTAAATAATTATTAGAGTAAATATATATGTCTGTAATATTACCTCTCTTTTTAAAGATAAGTCCCATGAGGAGTGGTGATCACATGTTGAAAAAAATCCAAAATACAACAAATTATATTTTTTAAATATTCTAATCTTTTTTTTTTTCAAAGACAATTGATAGGTCCTCTCAACCATCAATAATATTCTATTCTATGGTAAAAAGACTATCCTAATATTTAATCATTTTCAATGCCTTTATAACTTCTTTCCTACATTATATTTGTAATACCATCAAAAATCATTCATACTTCTAATAAAATCACCAAACATCAAGGGTCTCTTTCAATGTCATGATATCAAATATATTGTATCTTGCTATTTATTTGAAAAAAAATATTATTCTTAAAGATCTTTATTTCTATTTTTTTTATCTTAAAGGCTATGACCATTACAATGCTTTGGCCAATAAGTCAAGAAATAATAGCTCTTCAATTGAA